AACTCTTCCAGAAAACTGAACAAGAGTGAACATTTGGCAACTCATTCTGAGTCTAGCATTATTTTTTAACCAAATCCAAAGACATTCTACAAAAAAAACTATAGGCCAGTATCTCTCATGAATGCAGATGCAAAAATGTCTTCACATTTCAAAAATCTGAATTCAGTAATGTACACAACTGGTAATATATCAAGACAAAGTGGCATTTATCTGGCTTAACAGCAGGAAAAAAAAATCAACCAATGAATGTACTTCATCATATTAACAGATTAAAAAAAGAAAAACATCCATCATATTAATGTATCTATTAAAATATATAGAAAAATTATTTGACAAAATCTAATATCCATGGCCAATTAAAAACTCCACAAACTAGGAACAGAAGTAAACTTCAACATCATATACAATGTTAGAAGATTACTTTCCCCCTAATTTCAAGAATAAAGCAAAGATGCTCACTCTCACCACTTGTAGTTAACAATATAATAAGAAATACGGGGCATCCAGACCAGAAAGGATGAAGTACAACTGTCTTATTTGTAGTTGGCCTGATCATCTATGAAGAAAATCCCACGGAATCAATAAGCTACTGGAAATAAGAATTTTCAGCAAGTTTGCAGGACACCACATAAACATACAAAACTACAAAAATGTATTTCTATACACTAGTAAGAAACAATCAGAAATTTACACCTTAAAAAAGATTATAACAGCACCAAAAAACATCAAACATTTAGGAACAGAGCTGAAAAAAGATTTATAAAACCTGTATACTTGTTACTGAGATTAAAATACATTAAAGAGATATACTGTGTTCGTGAATCAGAAGAGTCAATATTGTTAAAGACATTAATTCTCCCTCAAAATGATTTGTAGATTCAATGCAGTTTGAATCAAAATACAGGCAGTTTTATTTCAACAACTTGACAATCTGATTCTAAAACTCACATAAAAACTGAACCTAGAATAGTCAAAATGACTTTGAAAGAGAAGAACAAAGTTGGAAAGTGGATCCTACCTGACCTAACTGGTTATTATAAAGCTACAGTAATCAAGATAGTGTGGTATTAAATGTAAAAGACAGGGGCACCTAGGTGGCTCAGTCAGTTGAGCATCCAAGAATTGATTTCTGCTCATGTCATGATCCCAGCATTGTGGGAATCAAACCCCACGTTGGGCTGTGCGTTGAGCATGGAGTCTGCTTAAGATTCCCTCTCTCTCTCTCTCTCTCTCTCTCTCTCTCTCTCTCTCTCTCTCCCCCTCCCTCCCTCCCTCTCCATTCCTCTCTCACACTCATGCACTCGCACACATAAATAAATAATGAATGAATGAATGAATGAATGAATGAATACTAGTTTAAAAAATGTAAAAGCAGACAAACAGATCAACAGAGAACAGATTCCAAAAAGAGACCAATATATATATGGTCAAGTGGGATTCAACAAATGTGGGTAAAGGCAATTCAGTGGAGAAAGAACAGTCTGTCTCACAAGTGATCCAGAAAAACTGGGTATCTATAATTCGAATAAGTGGACTCTGATGTATAAGTCACATAAGCAAAAATTAACTCAAAAGGGTAAATGTGAAAGATGAAAATATAAAACTTCTAGAAGAAAACATATTTAAAAAATGTATATACTAACCATTTAATTAAGATGTCTGCTTAAGGAGCGCTTGAGTGGCTTAGTCAGTTACCATCTGACTTCAGCTCAGGTCATGATCTTGCAGTTCACAAGTTCGAGCCCCGCGTCGGGCTCTGTGCTGACAGCTTGGGGCTGGAGCCTGGAGCCTGCTTTGGATTCTGTGTCTCCCTCTCTCTCTGCCCCTCCCCCTGCTCCTGTTCTGTCTCTATTAAAAATGAATAAACATTAAAAAAAAAAAAAAAGAAGAAGAAGAACGTCTGCTTAAGCCACTGAGTGGGAAAAATACCTGCAAATAATGTACCCGATAAGGGACTTGCATCTAGAACACATGTTGTCTCACAAAATTCAGAAAACAAACCAAGTCAATAAAAAAAGACAGGTGATGAACAAATCTGAGCAGACCTTCACCAAAGAAAATAAAGAAATGGCAAATACACACATGGAAAGACATTCAACATAATTTAATCATTAAAGAAATGCAAACTGAAACTTCAATGAGAAAGTACCCCACACCCACTAGAAACGCCAAAATTAAACCATACCAAGTAGTGCAGAGAATGTAGAGGAACAGACCCCTGATACACTGCTGGCAGAATCATTGAATGGTACAACTATTTTGGAAAATAGTTTGATAGTGTCTTTAAAACTTAAGGCTACACCTACCAGGTAACCCAGCTATTCCATTCCTTGGTATTTATGCAAGAAAAATCTGTCCATATAAAGATTTGTATTATATTCCTAGTAGCTTTGTTAATAGCCAAAAATTGGAAAACAATCTGAATGTCCATCAATTACTGAATGGATAATCATTATGGTATGTCCAGACAATAGAAAGTACTCAGCAACTGGGGCGCCTGGGTGGCTCAGTCGGTTAAGCAGCCGACTTCGGCTCAGGTCATATCTCACGGTCCGTGAGTTAAAGCCCCGCGTCGGGCTCTGTGCTGACAGCTCAGAGCCTGGAGCCTGTTTCGGATTCTGTGTCTCCCTGTCTCTGACCCTCCCCATTCATGCTCTGTCTCTCTGTGTCTCAAAAACAAATAAACGTTAAAAAAAATTAAAAAAAAAAAAAGAAAGAAAGTAGTCAGCAATAAAAAGAACGTACTGATACACACAACATGGATGAATTTCAAAGTATGCCGAGTGAAAGAAGACAAAGTGTAAAATATTGTATGTTTCCATTTTTAACATTCTAGAAAGTTCAAACTAGAACTTTCAGATTACCATGTAACTAAATATGATAGCTAGTCCTTATATTATTATGACACAGTTAACTTCTTTTTTTTCCTTTTCTTTAACTTCACTTCCAGCATATTCACATCTTCTTTGTGTTCTTCCAAACTCTGGCCCTCTTCTCAGTCTTATTTGCTAGTTTCACCTCTGCTCCAAGACCTTTCAATACTGGCAGCCGTAGGGTGTCCTAAGGCCTCTTGTCCTCACCACCTGCACTCACTCCTCCACTGGCACCCACTCTCATGGCTTTACGTAAACTCTTTATGCACACAGGTGCCAAAATTATACCCATAGTCTGGACCTATTTTCCAAATGCTACACTATGCATGCCACTGGTTAATTAACATTTCTACCTGGGTGTCTAATAAATATTTCAACCCTAAAGTAGGCAAAACAGCCCAGCCAAGATGTCCACATCCTAATCCCTAAAACATGTGATAAGTTATGTTACATGGCAAAAGGGTCTTTGCTAATTTAAGTAAGGCTACAGACTTTAAAATAAGAAAATTATTCTGGATTTTTCAGGCAGACCCATTCTAATCTCATGAACCCTTAAAAGAAGAGAACTTTCTGTGGGCAGAAGCAGAAAAGGTGCAGCAGAGAAGAAGTCAGAGAGATCCCAAGTATGGGAAGGACTCAATAGGCTAGTGCTGGCTCTGAGACGGATGGACATACGTGTAAGGGCTGAAGAGAGCCTCTAGAAGCTAAGGGCAGACCGCAGCTGAGAGCCAGAAATAAAATGGACATAAATTAACAACTTGGGGGTGCCTAGGTGGCTCAGTCGGTAAGCGTCCGACTTCGGCTCAGGTCATGATCTCGCAGTTTGTGAGTTCGAGCCCCGTGTCGTATTCTGTGCTGAACGCTCAGAGCCTGGAGCCTGCTTCAGATTCTGTGTCTCCCTCTCTCTCTGCTCCTCCCTCACTCATACTCTGTCTCTCTCTCAAGAAAAAATAAACATTAAAAAATTTTTTTTTGTAAATCAACAACTTGAATGAGCTTAGAAGCTCCTGCTCCCAGATAAGAACCCAGGCCAGCTTTGAGAGATCCAGAGGAACCAGCTGAGCCCACCAGTCTTCCAGCCTCCAGAACAGGGAGATAACACTTTTATATTGTTTTAAATTGCTACATTTGTTCTGGAAGCAAGAGAGCACTTATACCATATCCAAAACTGAATTCCTCATCTTGTCCTCAACCTAACACACCCCACCCACAGTCTTTCCCATCTTTGTTAACAGCAATTGCATTTTTCTAGTTATCTGGTCCAACACCCTTTGACTCTTCCTTGGATCCTCTCTTTCTCTCACACATCTCATCTTCTTTCTGAGAAAGCTACGTGGGTTCTACATTTAAATAAATTCAAATTCTCATAACCTCTCACCACCTCCCCTATTACCACCATCTCTCTCTGCATTATTATAATAATCTCCTAAGGGCTTCCCAGCTTCCATCCTTGACTCTCTAGTCTATCCAGAACAAAGCAGCCAGAGATCCTAATAAAACCTAAGTCAGATGGTATGCACCAATGGCTGGCTTTTGAATCAAACTCAAAAACCAAGTCCTTGCACTGGTTTGCACAGCCCTACGTGATTGGCCCCTTGGCCAGTATCACCTTCTGTGGTTCTCCCCGCTCCTTGCTCATTATGTCCCAGCACCTTTCCCTGTCCACACTTGTTTTCACATTAGGCACATATAACATTTACTATAATACTTCCTATGAACCAGATACTGTTGTAATTGTTTTACATATATTATCTTATTCAATTCCAATAATTATTTCACCCATTTTACAGATGATCAAACAAAGTTACAAAGAGGTTAATTAACACTCAGTGGTGATGCCAGAATTCAAAATCACAGGTGAACAAAGCCCACTCTATAGCCTAAATTCTTAATCTCAATGATGCCCCCCAAGTTGTTAGCCTTACTTACTATTTTTCAGAACTGAGTATAAACAGAATGTAAAATAAAAGACTAAGAAATGGGAATCCTAAAGTGTTTAACGTAGGGTTAAAGAGGGAAGAAAAGTTAAAGGGAACCAGGACACTGAGAACGATATTACTTCTTAAAGGTAAAAGAAAGCACATAACTAGTTATTATATAAAACAAAATATGGCACTTAAAACTTACTTTTTCTGTGGTAACAGTCAAAGAAGGAACCAACGCAGGTGATGGCTCTGGTTGCTTCTTGTGTTTTTGTTTGTGTTTGTCCTTTTCTTTATATTTCTAGAAACGCACAGAAATAAAATCCAATTTAAATTTAAATCATAAACCATGTATATAAAGATTAGATTCTTTCATAATTCTGTTTAGTAACTCAAAATGTTAATGAATACTTGACAAATAATAAAACATTACTTCCTCTGATTGTATTCATGTTATTTGATAAACAATACTAGTAAAATAGTATTATAAATACATTAAGATGTATAGTAACACGGGTAAAAATTATTTTAAGTGATTTCAGCTCCCTTATTCTTGACCAACCTAAAATAATATATAAACAACTGAAGTCTATAATTATTTGATACATTTATATCAGGCAACCTATATTTTTTCCTACCTAAAAACACCAAAGGGGTTCCTCAGTAGCTCAGTCGGTTAAGCATCCGACTCTGGATTTCAGCTCAGGTCAGGTTCCTACACTCATGAGACCAAGCCCCACATTGGGCTCTGTGCTGAGCATGGACCCTATTTATGATACTCTCTCTCTCCCTCTCTCCCTTCGCCCACCTCAACTCTCTCAAAATAAATAAACACTTAAAACAAAACAAAGGGGCGCCTGGGTGGCGCAGTCGGTTAAGCGTCCGACTTCAGCCAGGTCACGATCTCGCGGTCCGTGAGTTCGAGCCCCGCGTCAGGCTCTGGGCTGATGGCTCAGAGCCTGGAGCCTGTTTCCAATTCTGTGTCTCCCTCTCTCTCTGCCCCTCCCCCGTTCATGCTCTGTCTCTCTCTGTCCCAAAAATAAATAAACGTTGAAAAAAAAAATTTAAAACAAAACAAAAAAACATCAAATACTTTTGGTATATTTTATACACTGCACTTTAAAACTTCATAGCACTTTGACATACACTATCACATTAGAATAGTGTCAGATTCTACATCACTATGCATTAAATTGTATGGCCCACAAACTGGAAACCAGGCCACAGAAACTTAGGTTAAGAAATTTTTTCCTAGGTTTACTCAGAAAAATGTATGAATCAGCTATCTCAAACAAAAATAATTTAGGAGTGCATGGGTAGCTCTGTCAGTTAAGCATCCGATTCTTAATTTCGGCTCAGATCATGATCTCAGTCCACACTGACAGTATGGAACCTGCTTGAGATTCTCTCTGTCCCTCTGTCTCTGCCCTACCCCACTTGCACTTTCTCTCTCTCCGAAAATAAACTTAAAAAAATTTTTTAATCATTTAAAGTTTTGGTGTGCTACTTGCAATTTAAAGTACTAAAACTGATTAATTAAATATAAAAAGAATTCAATTAAATTAGAAATTAATTACATATTAGGAGACCAACTTTATTTAATGACAAAAAATTTAAACAAATTGTTTTCAATTGTATTGAAAGAATTGAAACTGAATTGAAAAAATCGGGATCGGGAGTAAAACTTACTATTATTTAAAGAGTTACATTTTAAGGATGCCTGGGTGGCTCAGTGGGTTAAGCGGCCGACTTCGGCTCAGGTCATGATCTCAGGGTTCATGAGTTTGAGCCCTATGTGGGGCTCTGTGCTGACCGCTCAGAGCCTGGAGCCTGCTTCAGATTCTGTGTCTCCCTCTCTCTCTCTGCCCCTCCCCCACTCGCACTGGCTCTCTCTGTCAAAAATAAACATTTTAAAATAAAAAAAAAAGAATATATAGAGTTACGTTTTCATTGCAACAGATCTTAGTAATGACCACCAAGGAATCCTGCCTCTGTTTCTTTGTAGCAGGATGTCACTGCTCCTCCCATCATAACATGCCCCCTTCTCCACCGCCCCCACCCCCCCATGAACCTACATTAGCTTTGTGATTTGCTTTGGCCAAGAGAATGTGCACAGCGACGTACAAGTTCAGGAGCCCAAAGCTTTACAAAAGTCTTAGATGGCTGCCACCTTTGCCCCTTTGATTCCAGTCACCATGTAAGTAACCACTTCAAGCTTTCTGATAACAGACAGCTTGAGAATGAGTAGAGAAGTAGAGAATGAGACCCTGTGGTGAAAAACTGAAGTACCCCAGCCCATAGCCAGCAGCATCTAACACCAGACATGTGGATAAGACTACCTTGCTGGAATAATTTAGTGAAAGTAAAATGACTTAAAATGTCAAAAGAATAAAAACAAACAAAACGCCTATCTTACACTACCCTGCCAGCCACCAGCTGAATATAGTCTCATAGGGAAACCCAGCTGATAACATGTGGAAGCAAGATGAATTGTTCCTGCTGAGCACTGCCTGTTATAAGCCACTACAAGTTGTGGGGTGGTTTACCAAGCAACAGTAGCTAACTGTAACAAGACTAGAATACACAATTGGGTAGTGAGAGTTAAAGAAAGTATAAATTACAGTATAACTTATAAATATGAGGTTCAAATGATCCCAGGTCTTTAAGTTCTGTATCAATATTTTTCTCCCATAAAGTTAATGAAGAAGCTTTTTTATCCTTCATGTTCTCCTTCGCATACTGGGTTTTATTCTTCAAGGGTTTTACTCTACAAGAGATGGGATGATTTAATAGTAAATAACCCTGACTAACAACAAGGTAGACAAACTCTTAAAATGTGGAAACTGCTTGGGAGTAAAAGGCAAAGAATGCACATGTACATGTATGAAAATACAAACATACAGAAATCATCATGGAATTACACAGAATTCTGGTTCTATGTGGTACATCAGGAAAGGTATCCTGACATGAGGATTGCAAGTGTTCAGTGGAAACAGACTGTGAACAGATTATATCACTAGTCTGTAAGATATGAATCAAAACAGTCCAATTATATTCACTAAAGAGATAGGCTGATTTTACTCCAGAAAACAATATGGAGTTTTCTCAAAAAGTTAAAAAACAGAACTACCCTGGGGAGTCTGGTGTCAGTATCCAGTATCCCACTCTTAATCTCAGGGTCTTGAGTTCAAGCCCCACGCTGGGGTTTAACTTAAAAAACAAACAAACAAACAAAAATAGAGCTACCCTATAATCCAGCAATTGGCCCTACCAGGTATTTACCCAAAGGAAACAAAAATAATGATTCTAAGGGATATACATGCACCCCAATGTTTACAGCAGCATTATCAACAATAGCCAAATTATGAAAAGAGCCCAAATTTCCATCAACTGGTAAGTGGCTAAAGATGTGGCATATATACACAATGGAATATTAGTCATCAAAAAGCATAACATCTTGCCATTTGCAATGATATGGATGGAGCTAGAGAGTATTATGCTAAGCAAAGTAAGTCAGAGAAAGAACCAACACCACAGGATTTCACTCATATGTGGAATTTCAGAACCAAAACAAATGCACATGGGGCAAGAAGAAAAAAAAAAGAGGGGGGACAAACCGAGAAACAGACTCTTAACTATAGAGAACTGAGGGTTACTGGAGGGGAGGACAGTAGGGGGATGGATTAGGTATGTGACAGGGATTAAGGAGGGCACTTGTTTTGATGACCACTAGGCTTCTATGTAAGCGATGAGCAACTAAATTCTACATCTGAAACTAATGTTACACTGTATGTTAACTAACTGGAATTTAAATAAAAATTTGGAATAAGATTTAAAAAAGAAAAGGGTGCCTGGGTGGCTCAATTGGTTGAGCGTCCGAGTCTTGATTTCGGCTCAGGTCGTGGATCTCCACATTCACGAGCTTGAGCCCCGCATCAGGTTCTGTACTGCCAGCACAGAGCCTGCTTGGGATTCTGAGTCTCCTTCTCTCTCTGCCCCTCCTCTGCTTGCACTCTCTCAAAAGTAAATAAACATTAAAATGAATAAAAATTTAAAAAGAGAGAGGCTGATTTTAATAGATCAACACAACAAGAGGAAACTGTAGAACAAGATTCAGTTATATGTAAACATTTAGCATATGATAAGGAAGGGTTCCAAATTTGCAAGGAAAGACTAAAATTACCTAGTACTGGTACTAGAAAAACTGGTTAATAACTTGAGCAAAAGTACATTATTCAAAGTATAATAAAATCCAGATGGATTATTTTAAAGAGTTAAATAATAATTAAAACAACCTAAATGGATGGGAAGACAGTATTTTTGAAATCTTTAACTTTTAAAAAGAAAAGACTCTTTTCTACATATAAAAACAAAGCAAAAATTATAAAGGGAAAAAGCAGGTTTAGCTACTGACATTTGAAATGCTTCTACATTAATTTAAAAACCTTTCAAAAGCAAAAATTTGGAAAATGAGTAAAATAAATATGTTCTACATTTTCAGCACTGTTTAATTTTTTTTACAAATCACTGAGCATATATACACATAAATGCCACAGAACAATGTAAAAAGGACAACTCACAAAAGACACAGAGTCAGTAAATAACAAACAATGTGAAACTCAACCTTTAAAGAATTAAAGGTAGTATTCTGCTCTCACTAGTAATCAAAATTGTTGAGTTTTGCTTTTTGTAAGACCCAATGTTGCTCAGGTTATGGTGAAATGAGCGCTTGCATATATTAGAGACAGTATAAATTGGGAAGGACAATTTTAAAAGAATTAGAAACCATAGAAACGTTCTCTGTCCTAGAAATTTCACCTCTAGGAGGTGAACAAAGGATTAAATACTGTTTATTACAGTACTATTTGCCATGAGAAAAACCTGCAAACAATCTGAGTATGCAACAACAGAGATGTGACTGAAAAAATCATTATAAAACCATACAATGGCCATTAAAATTAGTATGTTCTGAAGAAATGCTTAGAGATTTAGGAAAGTGGTTAATATATGCATGAATAAGAAACAACCAGAAGGAAATAAACCAGTATTGGATATTTTTTATATAAAGCCATAGGTCAGAACCAGTGTCACTCCCAACTGAATCAGTGAGCACAACTAACAATAAAAATAATCAGAACCATACAAATACATATATCTCATTTAATCCTTAAAAGAGCCCTGTGAGGACCTATTTTTATAAACCAAGTCACTTAATCACAGAGTAGACTCTTTTATCCACACCCTCAAAGAAACTTAAAAGAAACTTTTAAAAAGCAGACTTTTTTTAATTTAAAGAAAAAA